TAGAAATGAAGATAGAACATTTTATCTAGCAGTAACTGGTTAGTGCAGTCATTAGAACATGAATTACTTACGACTAGGTTTAATACAAAATAAAAACAGAACATTTTCTCTAGCAGTAACTGGTTAGTACAGTCATGAGAACGTGAATTACTTACGACTAGGTTTAATACAAAATAAAGACAGAACATTTTCTCTAGCAGTAACTGGTTAGTACTGTCATGAGAACATGAATTACTTACAACTAGGTTTAATACAAAATAAAGACAGAACATTTTCTCTAGCAGTAACTGGTTAGTACAGTCATGAGAACATGAATTACTTACGACTAGGTTTAATACAAAATAAAGACAGAACATTTTCTCTAGCAGTAACTGGTTAGTACAGTCATTAGAACATGAATTACTTACGACTAGGTTTAATACAAAGTAATATTGTTACACATTTCGAAATATTTGCCTCGAAAGTCAACAATAAATACATAATAAAATAGTAATAATAATGCTATATGCTTGAAGTAGTGTTTAGTATCATCTCCTAAGATACACAGAAATTTGCTATATCGTGTAGTAACAAGCTTGTTTAAGTTAAAACAAAATGTTAACTTTCTGTTTAGAAATACTGCTGTAAAGAGATTTGATCTATATCACATATACTAGTCCAGACCGAAACTTTCGTGCAGTTACTGTACTTGCTGGTTTGTGTGCCTAGATGTTTACTTACAAAGTAAAAATTATTTGACTGTGTGGAAGTTCTATAGGAACGATGAACTCTAAGAACATCCTAAAACCCAGTGTTACAATAATTAACAATTGTAACTATTCGTTGGGTCAGATTAATTTGTGTAGTTAATGGTGTACGTTAGATCTAATGTCTTTAATAAACAAGTCGACAGACATGCAATGTTTTTGAGTATTACATTGGAGTTCATAAAAAGTTTATATCTGTTGCTTACACTTCCAGTGCTCAGAAAGTCGTACAAGGTGTAAGGAAACTGATAGGTGGTGGGTGAGTTTGTGGATTAGACACCTACATTTTTATAAACCGTGATTTTGTGGGTATTTATTTTCAGGTAAGCCATAATTACTGTTGCTTTTGTACTTTAATTTCTGTTTCTGATCAGGAAATGTAATGTCCTTCTGCGTTTAGTGGCATGTTTAAACATTCTGTCAAGGTAACACCTTGAATTCCGTTATATAGTAAAAAAGTACAAACACAGTTTAAATTATTATTGAAATACTGTAACAACGCTTCTAACATTTTCATTACATCTATTAATATATACATTGAAGACCTCCCTCCCCTTGTTGTTGAGTAAAAATTAATTCATTATCAATATTTCTTCAATAAAAGTACAAAAGTTCTTATGTAATACGTCAAGCAACGTACTGCAGCCCGTGCTTACTGTTTGTTTAATTTCCCACCAAACACAAAACTCAGATAAATCAATTAAATAACAACCATCTATAAATTTATGTAACGCAATATTGTCTTCACACACACGCGATTTTTTTTAATATACACCACTGTTGTAGCTATGCTTCTTCCAAGGATCCATGTGCGACATCCTTATACATATATATATATATATATATAGTATAGATGGTCAACAAAAAAAAAGCAAAAGAGCGAAATTGAGAGCATGAAGTTGGAATGCCTACTATCTATCGAAATATCTCTAAAAGTAGCTTAAACTGTTTTGATTTTATTTGAATTTCTATAATAGACCAGTACATGCCTTTAGTGGAAAGCATAGGTGCAGCTAGCTTAACCACTGCACTAGGGAATTTCAAAAACAAAATAACCTAAGCCTAATTGTGAAACTTAAACCGGTCAACATTATTTAAATCGTATTATTTTGTTACATATTACAGCTTTTGCAGCGAGGATGAACATTTTTAAAACAGGTACGACGTTTCGATCACTGGTGCAATAATCCTCAAGTACAAAAATTTTAACGGTAAATAAGGATTTAGTACTTAAACAACATTAAACACCAAAACTAGCAAAAGCCTAAGTCACTTTATGTCTTTGCAGGAAATAATCTTTCAAGATACTCGGAATCTAAAGTATAACCATAAAATAAAGAACTTCCGCACGGGGGAGCTTATTCTCGCCCTGTGACTTCCGCCGTTACTGTCCAACTGGGGCTCACTTTTCAGGTGTCAGCACTAGGCAGGTAACTTGGAGGTTCTCGTTAGTGAAACTATATTAGTTATTCGACCAAAAATTTCTGATTGATCTTGTAAACGAAACCCTTGCCTCACTTACTTTTGATAAACACGATAAAGAAAATACACGAACTATAAGCTTAGTAAGGAATAATCTATTAATACCCAATTCTGTTATCACCAGATGATGTAAAATAAACAATGTTTGTAAAATGTAGTCTTAACACAATCATAAACAATGTTTTTCATTTGATACAATAACGGTTGTTATGGTGTGTACGCCTTTTAAAAGAATGGTTACAAATATGCTTGTCATAAGACCATATTAGGTCTATTACATTATTAAACACAAATTGTTAATCTAGTCCCTTAGGGAGTTTCAAGAATTAAAAGAGTGTAGAATAATAGTATTCAAACCCCACTGTATTTGTTATAAGCTTAATACTACTGTATTATGACAAGTATGATTATAATGTTTCTCATTTGCTTAAAACTTTGGTTCTAAATAGCCTCTTTTTTTCCATTTGTGGTTAGTTATATATTTCATTACGTTCAGAAAAAAAAAGAAACTCTCTCGTGAATCAAACATAACGAAATGTTACTATTTTACAAAACAAACCCCCTTTTCTATGCTCTATATTCCAAAACAACCCTCTTTTTCTATGCTCTCTTTCACAAAACAAACTCATTTTCTCTGGGCTTTATTTCACAAAACAAATATTTTCTTTTCTGCGTTCTTTTTCACAAATCCGCTTTTTTCTATACTTTGTTTCACAAAACAAACCCCTTTTCTCTAGGCTTTATTTCACAAAACAAATTTTTTTTTCTGCGTCCTTTTTCACAAAATAACCCCCTTTTTCTATACTTTGTTTCACAAAACAAAACCCCCTTTCTTTAGGCTTTATTTCACAAAACAAACCTTTCTTTTCTGCGTTCGTTTTCACAAAATCCTCTTTTTTCTATGCTTTGTTTCACAAAACAACCCCCTTTTTGTTCTATTCTCTATTGAATGTTTATCACCTGGATTGTGCTAGTAACTCCAAAATACTAAATATGAAGAGCAACGTAGATTACTTTTGTGGTACATTAAAAGTTCAGTACACTTTCCGTAGAGTGTGCATATCGTCATCAGATGTGATACGTATCAAATCTGCGAGGAAAACAAACTTCATAGCAAAATAATTCATGTGATAGGTGTCAGT